AGATATATATAGTTGCATTCTCTTAATGAATAGAATGATTTGTTCTAATGGTGTTTGTAAATAGGATCACAAGTCCGCATCTTGTACAGCAATTAATCACTAAGAAAAATATATGCAGTATATTATTTGTTGAAACTGTCCTTCTGATATGATTTGAAACTGTCTCATTGCTATCTGTTTGTCAATAAAACTTTGGAAAAAAAAATAAAATCTGTTCATCTGTTGGCAGGCATTCAAGTGTTTCCAGTTGGGGGTTGTTACTAACAAATCTTATGAACATTCATGTACAAGTCTTTGCAGTATTTTCGTGTCTTTTGAAAAATAACCAAGGGCTAGCCAGATAGCTCAGCAGACTAAAGCACCTCTTTAGAGAGTCACAGGGACTGGGATTTGATCCCCAGCATGCTGTGCTGGTCCCTTCCCTAGGGTGCGGTAAGATGGAGAATGAGACTGGGTGTGGTGGCGTGCATCTATAATTCCAGTACTTGGGAGGCTGAGAACAGGAGGATCACTAGGAGTCTGATCTGTGTAGTGAGACCCTGTAGACTTTGTACTAAACACATTAAAAAATAAAAGAAAAAGAAAAATAACCTAAGAGTAGAATCACAACATCATTTGATAAGTATGTGTTTAGTTTTATGCATGTAACCTCCCCAAAAGCTTTTTAACTGCTTATAGCATTTTCCATCACCAACAGAAACATGTATGCAGCTAGTCTTTAATTTTGCCAGTACTTAATATAATCAGTTGTCTTGATTTTAGCCATTTACATGGTTGCCCTGTGCTTTGGTTTCAGTTTATCTTTTCCTGACCACTCATAATGGTAAATTATTTTCATGTCCATATTGTTCATTTGTGTTTCATTTATAAAGTGCCTATTTAAGTGTCTACTAGAATTGACTAATTTGTCTTCTTATGATAGGATTGTGAGAGTTCTTTATATATTTTGACCCAATAGCACATATGCACACAATGACCATTTCTTTCCATTCTGTGCATTGCATTTTGTTATCTTGAAGGTGTTTTTTTTTTGTAGAAGATTAAACATTTAATAACATATGATTTGTCTTCTATTAATACTGTTTGCCTGTTTCATATTCTGAGAAGTCTTTACCCAAACATTAGAAATTCTTGTTTTTAGAAGCTTTGCTGTTCTAGTCTTCACACTTAGGTCTATGTTTAGTTCCCATTTAACTTGTATATAGTAACACAAATATCACACAATAGTGAAGTAAAGTGTTTTATTTTTCCATATGTTTATGAAATTGGTTCTGCATCATTAGTTAAAAATGTCAATTCTTTCCCCCACTGAATTACTTTTCCTTTGGCATTTTAGTTGAAAATAATGTGGCTGTATATTATCCTCTTCATTCAGTCCAGTTTTTCTATATGTCTTTGCTTCTGATGTCCTAATTATTGCAGCTTTCTTTATAGTAAGGATTGAAACTAGATTTTGTGATTCCTCCAGCTATTTTTTTTCCAAAATTGATGTCATTGTTCCTAGAGCTTGGCATTGTCCTTTAAATTTTACAATCAGCATA